TTTTTTTAGATAATGTCAAATTAACAGCCACACAGAAAGACTCATGTGAAGGTGAAATTACAGAGGAGGAACTTCTGGATGCAATTAAAGACTTTAAGTCCGGGAAAAACTCCAGGGTGGATGGCATAACCAATCGAGGTATACCAAACCTTTTTTGAATACTAAGAGGACCGTTATTAGCATGTTTTAAACCACTCCTATGTAAATGGTAGATTATCTGACACTCAAGAAGAAGGTCTGATCTCATTATTACTGAAACAGGATACAAGTGGAAAATATAAAGATCCAGTTCCATTTACAAAATTGGAGGCCCCCTTACACTTCAGTGTTGTGATGCAAAAATCCTAGCAAAATGTTATAGCGCATAGAATTAAAAGGTATTGTCGGATATTATTCATTCTAATCAGACAGGTTTTTTACATGGAAGATACATTGGAGATAATATAAGGCAAGTATTGGAAACAATAGAACACTATGGAAAATATGGGAAACCAGGCCTGACTATTCAATAGCAGACTTCGAAAAGCATTTGATAAAGTTCGACTGGAATTTATATATAAATGCCTGGAGCATTTCAATTTTGGAGAATCTCTTATAAAATGGGTCAAAATCATGTATAGTAACCCTAGGTGTAAAATAGTAAATAATGGACTATTTCTCAGAAAGTTTTAAACTGTCAAGAGGAGTGAAACAAGGTTGTCCACTATCGGCATATCTATTTATTGTGGCCATCGAGATGTTAGCTATTAAAATCAGATCCAATAATAATATCAGAGGATTAGAAATACAGGGCTTAAAAACAAAGGTGTCATTGTACGCAGATGATTCATGTTTTCTTTAGATCCACAACTAGAATCCCTCCACACGCCTCATAGAGGATCTAGATACATTTTCTAACCTCTCTGGATTAAAACCAAATTATGACAAATGTACTATATTACGTATTGGATCACTAAAAAATACAATTTTCTACATTACCATGTAGTTTACCAATAAAATGGTTGATGGTGATGTGGTATATACTCGGAATACATATCCCAAAGGAAATAATGATCTCACTTCAATAAAATTTTAATAGAAAGTTAGCAAAAATAGATAAGATCTTACTACCATGGAAAGGAAAATACCTGTCAATTTGTGGAAAAATCACCCTGATTAACTCTTTAGTATTATCCCAGTTTACCTATTTGCTTTATGGTCTTGCCTACGCCTAGCAAACAGTTTTTAAATTATATGAGAAAAAATATTAAATTTTATTTGGAACGGGCAAGCCAGACAAAATTAAAAGAGCATATTTATATAATGAATATGAATTCGGGGGGGACAGAAATTATTAAATATTAAAGCATTAGACCTATCACTAAAATCTTCAGTCATCCAAAAGTTATACTTAAATCCGAACTGGTTCTCAAGCAATTAGTAAGATTGTCTCACCCACTGTTCAAGAAAGGCCTTTTTTCCCTTATTCAGATTACAACCTCTCACTTTCAGTTATTTGAAAAGGAAATAATCTCCCAAATGTCACTATTTCTAAAAACAAGCCATAGAAAGTTGGTTGCAATTTCAATTTAATCCTCCAGAAACGACAGCAGAACAAATAATGCAACAAATATTGTGGTTAAATTCAAATATACTAATTGACAAAAAAACCTTTATTTTTTGACAGAATGTTTTAAAAAAGGTATAATCTTCGTAAATGATATCATCGGTAGGACTGGTGGACGTTATGTCGCACATGCAGCTAACAAAAACATATGGAAATGTTCTGCTCTACCCAAAATTACAACCAAATAATTGGCAGCCTTACCGCAAAAGTGGAAGAGGAAAGTTTGAAGGGGGAGAAAGTAAGGAACTTGTCTGTCGGCATTGCATTAAAGAACATAATTGGTTAAGGAAAACAGTGATAAATAAAAAAGTATATCAGTTTCACTTAAGGACCAAAGGATTGACAGCCGTCCCATATAGATTGCAAAATAGTTGGGGAAGAGATCTTTGACGTACCGATCCCATGGCATAGTGTTTATGAACTTGACACGCAAAACGACACCGGATTCAAAAATTAGAATCTTTCAATTTAAATTATTATATAAAATTCTTGCTACCAATAGAATGTTATTTATATGGGGGATACAATCTTCCCAGCTCTGCAGATTTTGCTGTGAAGAGATAGAATCATTAGATCATTTGTTTTGGTTCTGTCCATTTGTAGCTTGTTTTTGGACACAGGTCCAGGAATGGCTAAAGGATTGCAATATTTACCTGGAACTAACCTTGCAGATAGCATTACAGGGTGATCTGAAAAGTCATAGTCAATCAATCAATAATATAATAATACTTTTAGCAAAAATGTTTATTTTTAATTCACAATCTGTAGAAGCAATGAGAATAGAAAGGTTCAGAACTTTTGTAAAACATCACAGTACGGTTGAAATATATATGGCAAATAGAAATCCTATATGGATGGTGTTAAGAGATAGATGGGAGGTATTGAATAGAGTTGAAGGATGGGACTAATAACAAATAACAACAAATAATAACAAAGATAGCTAATAATGTAAGCATACTGTGTCCATAATAAGTATATAGGTTGTATGTTGGGAGCTTTTGGGAAAAGAGCACAGTTAGAAAGATATGGCATTTAGAAAGCAAACCGGATGGACATCATGAAAATGATCGGAGAGGTTGAGAGTAGAAGAAGTTCAGGAGCAAAAAAATAAATAATATATATGTTATATATATATGTATATGTATGTATATATATATATATATATCTTATCATGTGTGTATGTGTATATATATATATATACTATATATATATATTATCTATATATATATATATATATATACTATATAGATATATATATATATATATATCTATATAGATATAGAATTATTGTCAAATTAACTCTGTCCATAAGGTGTAGATAGTAAGTATAGACCGGAAGTAGAAGGCCTGGGCGTTGTTGTTCACTAATTTTACTCCAAGTAGGGAAAGGATGGTGGGGTTGAAAAGTAATAAAGGGGAATATATATATAAAAATAAAAATAAACATGGGGGATTGGAAGTGATGCCAGACAATTACATTGATAGAAGATACAATCTATCTGCAATATTAAGTATATAAAAAAAAAAAAAAAAAAAAAAAAAAAAAACCCAAAAAAAAAAGGAATGGGTGTTTTTTATTAAGGGACCAGGGTTTTTGGGGTGGTTTTTAACATTTTTTGGTTTGCGTTTTTCCCAATTTTAAAAAAATTTTCTAAAACCCAAAGTTTTTCCGGGGGGGAAAGGGGGGGGGGGCCCAATGCACCCCCCAAAAAAATTTAGAAAAAATTGGGGCCCCCGGGGAGGGGTTGCGTTGGGGCCCCCTGAGTTTTTGGGGGGGGTTGGGTGGGGTTGTTTTTGGGGGTGTTTTAAAGGGGGGGGGCCTGTTCCCGGGGTTGGGGGCATAGGCCCCGGGCCCAAAATTCAAACACATTTCCCCCCTTGGGGGAAAGGAGCCCTTTCTCCCCCCGGGGTTTGCTTGGGGGAAATACCCCATCCCTTTTTCTGGTTTTAAATTTTGGGAAAAGGGTTCCCCGCACAGGTTTTTCCCCTTGTTTCATGTTTTGGGGAAAAATGGCGCCTTGGTTTATTTTTAATCAGAGCTGTTGCATATAAGAGAGAATACTCACACACCCTCTGAGTTACCGACTACTAGTGTAGAACGACATTATTACAAATTAAAGATCTAATTCCAGCCACTCAGCAGGAAATGTTCACGTTTCCTGGATAAAGGGACACAGGAGATGTTTTTTAGGGTCAATTGTTAATTCATGTCTGAAACAAGTCTGCGGCATTAGAATGCCAGCTAAGAATTCATTAACATTGAGTTGACATGTCATCTTTCATTTCCAATACCCCCGAAATGTACTCTGGGTCCCTTGTTTTTATTAAGTTTCCCCATTATATTTGTGTTAAACTTGGAACCCATAAAAAGGATATCATAATTTTGCATTGTAGTTTGAATGGAGGACTAGTGGGTTAACCCCTAACACGTGCCTGTTCAAAGTGGTCCAGTAATGTGGGCCATGTTCCGTGGCATAGGGAGGGAATCTGATCCTCTCTTGTGTCCATGTATTTCATTATCTGTGGTGGTTCTCAGGGACGTGACCTGGGTGACATTATGTCAAAGTCACCAAGGCTCTGAACGTTTAATGTGTTTCTTGGCTCAGGAGAACTACATCAACCTCCCGGGCCTGCTCTTCTCCTGCAAGTACAAAGTCACCGTTCATATGCTCAAGTCCAAGAGGCGCGCCAAGGACGAGAGCACCACCTTTCTCACCCCGTCCTGCTCCACCATAAGGAACAAGAACCACAAACACATCCCCTGTCCTGGGGAGGGAGGTGAGTCAGCTGCTCAGTACAACCAGATCATGTTATGCTGATACGCTGATTCTCATTTAACATTATGTGTCTGACTACAAGGCTCTCCACACGCTTGTTGAAAGAGGCTTCTTCTCATGTTATGGTACAAGTAGACAATTGCCTTTTTTGATTTACTGTGACAAATTTCTTACCACACCATACCATTTTTATTATGCCAAGAACACATATCCATCAGACGAGTATTTTTCAACATATTTATTCCCATCTCTCTCTGCAGCCCCAGTTCTCAAAGTGTTGGCTAAGCCGGAGAATCTGACGGCATCCTTCTCCATCCACGAGGGAAAACATCACGGGCAACTTCCTGTGGCGGGTGTCACGGTTCCTGGCCCATCAACGAATCACAGGCTTTCAGGTCACCTGGGCAGAGGTCACCACAGAGAGCCGACAAAACAGCCTGCCCAACAGCATCATCTCCCAGTCGCAGATCCTGCCTCCAGTAAGTCTATTAAATTAAATTATATTCAAATAAAACTATTGTTCCTGTGACGGAACTTCTTATTTGGAAAGTTACATGCAGTCCCTTCAGAGTAGGTTATACCAGGACATAGCTCTTTGCTTTTGCTGTAGGACACAAAAGATTAGCAAGGAAGGGATATATTGTATTTTTCCCAAGCGAATGAATAAGCGCTATCTTCAGCATTTCATTATACAACGCCTGCCAGGAGTGGAGGTATTTTAAGGATACAACTGTGTTGCTCTCTTTACATGAATAACCAGATAAGCAGTGGTGGGCAGAGAGACAGAGCGAGATCTGAGGGAGGGGCGTTGTGTCCCGTTAGAAGTTCTCCTCCTCCTGTGTATCATCTACCTTCCCTGCTTCCTCTTTCATCCTGCGTGACCGCGCTGAAAAACCCACTGTTTTACATCATCTATCAACAACACGTTCTGTCTGTCTTCTCCGCCCAGCGAGCTGCTAGCAGCTCTGAAAATAAAAACACCCATCGCTACACTCAGTTTATCAGGAAGGGAAAGAGAGAAAACAGGATATATCTTTATTTACCTGAATAGAGAGCAGAGGGTAGATGGGATATAGCCCAAGTTTACCCAACATCTAATTCAACATGTTAACATCAGAAGGGACTAACACTCTAGACTTCTATGTGAAAAAAAGGATCTGGGGAACAGAACGGTTTACTACCTTGAATTCCAAACAAGGTGAATGCAATGAACAACAGTCTGTATGTGAGAAAGGTGTTCAGACAGTCTTGGAGGACAAATCGAAGTTGATACAACATTGCTGTTCAAATCCTTTACAATTGTAGAAAAGGTTTCACCCCCCAAAAAAACGTCTTCTTTAGTGTGGGTTTTTATGAAAAATAAGCAATTTTCTATCAGCTTCGATTTGTCCTTGGAAGTGGCTGAATACCTCTCACATACCGAGTGTTATGTGAAATAATGTTTTCTACAGTGGCACCAACGATGGTTAATTGTCTTTTCTTGTGCTGTTAACCCTGTCAGGACCATAATCTGCTGGTGGTGTCCAACCTGCGATCAGCCACGTACTACAGACTGGAGGTCCAGGTGATAACGTCAGGAGGGGAGGGTCCTGCCACCGTCAAGACCTTCCAGACCCCCAGTGTGTTACCAGTCCTGCAACACCGTAAGTACCAACTCACTGACCACTGATCACAGCTGTTGCTCTCCTCTAGTTAACCACCAGGCTGTGTCCAGGTGGTCTTAATACCGTAGCTCATTGGAGCGTATCTGTGACTCTTCAGTGACATCTTTTGAGGTCATCTGATGAGTATATTCCTTACATGAGCACATAATACTTTTGATCATTATTCTGAACTTTCATTAGGAACTGATATTGACATGTTTTTTGTGCTTTGTAGGACCCAGACTCAGGCAGCACCATCCACACCAGAAGCCCTCAGCAGAGAGACATTGAGACCCCTTGGCCCATCAGACCCAGTGTGGCCAGAATCAATGTCTCACAGCACCTTCACCCAGGGAGGGAATTCGGTGTGGAACCAAACAGCAACACAGCAAACACAGCAGACCATGAACTTTGACCCCAACCCATGTGGTATGGGTTCACCTTCAGGCTGCACAGAATATGCTTTCCCCTCACAGTCCTTTCAGATTCAATCCACTGACTGGGCTCTCTGCACCATACAGTCAGATACATACTCTTACGTAGGACTTTTCATTAGGACAGGTTGGTTCATTCTCCCGTTATTTCACTGAAAGTTTTGTGGGACTAAGATGGTTAAGGAGTTCCCAAACTGTTTTCATCCAATATAACCAATTACAAAGCAACAGTATATTACCAATTCCAATTGTATTTCATTAGATAAAATAGGACACACAATAATTTTTTTACCATGATATTCAAGCATTTCGTTTGAATATCATGGTCATTAATAGAGTTGGGATGTATACCGTATATACCACATCCCAGCTTATTTCAAAATATTATCAGTATGGCTTTCCAGTACCGTCAATACCGTTTTTTTTTTTTTTTTTTAATGCATTTGAATATTGGTACTTTTTAAATACCTGCAGTCAACTTGTGCACTAGGTAATAGATAAAGCAGATCGTGTTCATCATTTCACCTGTTATATGATTTTCCATTATGAAGCTTAAGGTACTAGTTTCCCAAAACAGCTGTTTGAGCCAGCCATGTGTGTCTGTTTACAAAGAAGCACAATGAGCAAAATGGGAGCTTCTTGAGGTGAGTCACTCCTGCAGCACAACTTAAGTGAGGTAATGAAGTTATTTTTTAAAACATTTTAGTCATTTAGCAGACGCTCTTATCCAGAGCGACTTACAGTTAATGAGTGCATACATTTTTCATACTGGCCCCCCGTGGGAATCGAACCCACAACCCGCAACGCCATGCTCTACCAACTGAGCTACACTTATGAAATTCACTAGTAATGTTTCCCAGCTATATATCTTATAACTATTAAGTTAACTATCTAAGATGTGCCAAATAAATTCTCTCCAGCTGGGTTTTGCTAACTTGCTAATGTTAGCTAAGTGGCTAACGTGAGTTTGCAAGATCAAGCTTATTGGTAACAGCAGCAGAGACAATCCCTTCCTGGATTATAACCCCTGCTGTCTAATATTTGTTTTATGCGTGCTGCAAACTGCGTTTTGCGATACTTGCATAACTTTGTGAGCTGGGTTGTCTGTTTTAGTAGTAAATGTTCGCATGCGCTCATTAGCATTTGCCCAGGATCCGCTATGAGGATTCCTTAGTACTTGTTAGCATTTTGTAGCATTCTGTTAAGTTACGTGTTTGGGCTTTTTTTTTAAGTAAAAAAAAAGAAATGGTGGCCCTTGTGTGCACTACCGGTTATACTATATATCCCGGGATGGCACAGGCACGGTATTGAAATCTGGATACTGCCCAACCCTAGCAACTAAATTGAAGACAATGCTATACAATTGTAAAACACAATCATGTATTCGTTGAGAAATGTCACCTATTTATTTTGTTTTACCAAGTAAGTAAAAATAAGTCCCTTAGGCATACCGTATGTACTGATGAATAATGTAACTAAAACCAGTGTAGTTTAACCCAGAATATTTCTCATAGTATGTTGCATGTACATTCAGTGCTTGACTTGGGCAGGAGCTCACTGGAGCGGAGTACTGGCACCTCAAATTTTCTACTGCTTGAGCTCCTGTTCTTCTTATAGAATATTAGCTCAAAAGTATTGTGGAGCTCCTGCATTAATATGGAGTTTGTCCCCCCTAAAATGAGTATCGGCACATATTTCCATCCAAGTCCAGCACTGAGTAAGTTTGATTTTAAACTGTAAATAAATTACTAGCTTCAAATTGAATGCTTGTAATGGTTTTGCATGTCAAACATTAGTGTTCTGTAGGCATAAATACATCTGTGTTACCTCTTTAATATGTTAGCAATATTTCAGTAACAGAGAATTATATGGGGAATAATATGTCATGTTTATTAATGAAATTATAACTGTGTGGAAATGATCGAATTGTATATGTTATTGTCTGTAGAAATATTTGTTGTGGAACAGTCAGTGAATGTCTATATTTATTTATATGTGTATTACAACGTTTGATTTGTGTATGTATGTGTGTGTTTTGAGTGTTTTAGTCTAGAGTTTTTGATCCGGCAAAACATCTTGTAAAGACATTTTGTAAAAATTGAATTGTAAATATAGTCTCATGTTACATGTTATTTTTCCATGGTAGAAACTGCAGAAACTGTTAAGTAATAAAATAATCCTTAACCTATTCCTTATGCTTTTCCCCACTTAATTGAAATTACTATGAATGAGGAGTCAATATGAAATAGTGTATATTCTCTAAAAGTTGAACTATTTGGCAGATGCTGGTGCTTATGTTGGCTGTGTAGTCCATAATGCCAGACTCCAACACAGCATATTCACTGATCTACCCAGGAGCTTGAGACATGCACTCAAACAGTCCAAATAAACAGATCATTCAGAGCTTACCAGCAAGCCATGGCTGGAGTTTTATGCCCTGGACATAATACTCTCCTTTAGGCTGCAGTATTGTGCCCTGCCAGTTAATTAAAGTGTACTGTTAGTATTTGAACAGCTTTAAAGCCTTCTTTTCGCAATCCCTTCACTTTTCCAATACACTGTGGAATGTTGACATTATTGTGAGTAAATAAAGGCTGGTGTGAGAGAGAACACAGTATATGAAAGCAACCAAAATGAGGATGGTGTGCCAGAGGTTTGAGATGTTTTCCTTTTAGTGTTTTATATTGATCATACCTCACAGATGCTATTGATACTTAATGCTTTTTTGTTGGTTGTGATGTGTCAGTCATTCATTGTCAGCTGCCTGCGGCTTGTATTTTAGCCGTGACACCCTCGTACCCTCTACGCCTGTTGTGCCAGTAACACCCTTACAGAACCATGGAACACTAAGTGTAAGTTGCTCTGGATAAGAGCGTCTTCTGACTAAAAATGTATATACATATATATGTTTTTTACATGTAAACACCTCACAGGACTGGCCAAGTGTGTGGCCTGATTTAAGTTTTACATAGTCTGGACATTCTGACGTTTGTATTGGACGACCCAACATGTTACACTTGGCTAGCCCTTTTGCCCCTAGAAATGTCTACACTGCTGTTTTAAACCACATATTCTAGTTTTCTTTTCATATACACAACAGACAGACAGTCTATTAGCTCTCCCAAAGAATGCCAAGTGTTCTGTGCACATGGGTTTTATAATGGCATGGTCTTAAGCTACTATCTATTACTGTTTATTAACACAATATCATGAATCTGTAAAAAACGTATGATAATTCCACTGTTTTGTGGTATATCAAGATTTGTGTACATTACAAGATTAATGTACTGCGTATTGCCAGGTATTCAATCTCCGTTGCCATGCCTGTGTTTATTTCCAGTTTTATTTGTCACATGCAAAAGTACAGTGAAATGCTTAACTTGCAAGACCATCCCAACAATGCAGTGTTCAATATCAAAATAGTATAACTAAACCAGGAGAAATAAGAGCGAAAGCTATATACAGGGTCAGTGCCAGTACCACATTTACAATGTACAGGGATACTGGAGTAGTTGAGGTAGATATTTACATGTAGGCAGGGATTAGGAGTTTGTGTGGGTGTGTGTGTGCACTGTGTATCTTTAACCACTTCCTCTGTGCCAACTGAGGCCCTAGAAGTCTAGACTGTAGACGATTGGTCGCTGTCCCTCTAAGGACGTCCACATTTCCAAGTGGACAAGACCCAGCACTTTCTACAGTCAGCAGCTAGCTAATTATTGCGAGCCCTGCCTTAAACCCATTCAGGCCCTCTCCCTCTCTCTCTGCAGTAGGTCAGTGGCTGTGGCTATGTCAGTGGCTGGCCTTTCTCCTCTCAGGATGTTGTTTATGTACAGCTATAGTATATCACAAGAGATTAGTTCCTATATCCATGGATGCTAATCCTCCACTGTGTTGCTCTATGCTTCAGGACCCTGGCCAGTGTTTAGCCAAGGCCTCCTTTCTCTGTGAGCCAGACCAGCTCCCTTTCAGCTTGTCACAGTCCTCTCTACACACACACCAAATACCACAGCGCTCAAATGTGAAAACCTCAAAACAAAGGCATCCAACCTCCTTTGAGCCATGCTGCACTAAAGTCCAAGTCTCCGAGGACATAAAAGGAAATAAAAACTGCAACAACTAAATAAAAGTATTGTCGTTGGGCACAAAAGCTTAGTCTCGACCACTACAAGCCCAGAGAGAGTTTATTCACTTTGTATGACATTACCAGCCCATTGTTGTTCCAGGCTGGGGGATATTGTGTTCCAATTCAAACATATTTTGGTCAATATTGCCCTTTTGGACTGCTTGAATAATCACGGTCAGTCAAATATTTACCCTTCTGTTTGCTGACATATAATATATAATTTTTTTAAGAAGGTTAAACCAAGGATCATTTAGCTATTTCATTTAGAATTTTAAGACCCTTGAAGTATCAAAAAAATATATAACAAAGTGATTTGATGAAAAATGATTTTTGGCCTTACTGCTATTAGCCCATACAGGTCCCCAAAAAATATTGTCGTGTATTGGGATTATGCTTTTGTTAAATGTTTTTAAGTGGAACTGAAAGAATGTTGATTTTTGTATCAAGAGGGAATGTTTTAGTGTAACGCCACATACAACAGACAGGAAGTGTGTTGTAGACAGGGGAGACTGGTGATTGGCCAGAAGAGGGAGCCCATCTTTTTGCATTGTTTATAAGTAGGGGTTAAACGATGAGAGGGCAGAGCGGCCATTCTGAGGCGTCGCTCTCCGGATGTCATGTCATCTGTCACTTATGCTGAAGCTTTTGATATGAATAAACCTTATGATCAAAGTTCAGTATGAGCGGACTCCTTTGTTTATCAGCAATGATTGCCACCATTCACCCGATACGACAAATGGCGCCCAACGTGGGGCTGGTCTGCAAATCTCCTTTGTTTCATTCAGCCGCCAGGCTAACTCGCTTTGAAGCCATGGCCAGACAAGGGTGAGTTTTTCTTACCGCTTTGGAGCATGTTAG